CTGTAAATATATCAAAACTTAATTTTTGATTAGTAATATGCATTGCTAAGAACTTAATTTGAACAACTTTAAAGATGATTTTCTCAATATTTATATTTTTTTGCACCCTCAGATTCCAGATTTTCAAATAGTTGTATCTCGACCAAATATTGTCCTATCCTAACAAACCATACATCAATGGAAAGCTTATTTATTCAGCTTTCAGATGATGCATAAATTTAAACAAAATTAAAATTAAGTATATGTAATTAGATTGAATTACATTTTAAAATACTCGTAATCAGACTACAGCTACTTTTTTTATTGATTACATATTATTCTCACAATAGCAATACATTATTCATAATTTATTGATTCTCCCTAATTCCTCTTTTTCATCTTTTAAATGTTCCTTTTTTAAATAGCCTACCGCTTACATACATTCAGAAAGTCTTCCAGTTTTGTGGAGATTCTCACTAGTCAGTTTTACAGAAACTACTGATGAACACATTAATGTTTGTTTGAATTATCACTCAGTAGGTTATTTAACCATCTATTTCAATGTCTTTGGAAGGCTGTAATATAATAAAATGCACAAATTCACAATATATCTTATTTACATGTAATGCATGGGTTCCCAAACATTTTCATCATCTGAACCTCTTTCACCAAATATATTTACTTGAAGTACCCCTGAGATTTAAAAAAAACGTGCACCATCATCCAGCTGCGCAAACACCCCGAGCGGAAATACGAGCTGAAGGCGGTGAGCAAGGAGCAGCAGCGGCTCTCTGACGTCCACCAGGGGGAGCCGGCGAGCGGACAGTGTCACGGCGGCTGCCCGGGTCTCATCAACCCGTCCACGCTGGCCAACGAACACTCGTTTAAAGCCCAGCTGCGGACGGCGGCGTTCACACTGTTTTTATTCGCAGCCACGTGGACGTTCGGCGCACTGGCCGTATCGCAGGGTCACTTTCTGGATATGATCTTTAGCTGCTTGTACGGGGCATTTTCCGTCACGCTCGGGTTGTTCGTTTTGATTCACCACTGCGCGAAACGCGACGACGTCTGGCACTGCTGGTGCGCATGCTGCCCCGGGCGGCGCCCCTCCAACGCTTGCCACGCCCACAGCCATGCCCACAAAGTCAACATAAATGGCGACGCCCACTCACACTGCCATCTGGACGCCGGGAAACCCGCTCACTGCGCGTGTCGCACCGCAGCGCAGAATCACGTGACCTGCCTGACGCCGGTTTCGCCGTGTTGCGCTGCTCTGCACAAGCAGCAGCTCCTAGAGGACGAAACCAGCGCGCACGTGCTCATCCACGCCGACCCGGAGAGATACCGGCCCGCCGTGCGCTTGCACCGCTGCTCCAAGCCCGTCAGGACTAAAACGAGGCGGCAACGTGAACTAGCGTTCCGTATTCCCTCCGACGGTGCTAGTGCGCATAGCTCGCGCGCAAACAGCCCACACACCCACATCTGCCACTTGGCTCACGAAGGGCATCACGTTTGCCCTCACGAGGCGCTCACACTCTGCCACCACCATCACATGTGCTGCGCGAAAGATGAGCTCCTCGACACGAGCGAGAGCTTCCAGTGCGGAAAGCTCGCGGGGGACGATTTGCATCACGCGCACATAAAGTTGCACGCACGCAGACAGTCGCTAGCCAATCAGAACGGCATCCTGAAGGGAAGCGTGCCGGTGCACGAGGTGGTGCTGTATCCACCCGACAGCACGGGGAATATACGCACGGGACCCTGGAGAAATGAAACTACCGTGTAGTTCGAGCGAACTCCAACACTAGGATTTAAGAAAGCAACTTTAATTTTTTTTTTAGTACCATCACAAGCTCTTTCCTGCATCATTCGTAGTACAGGATGATTGCAGCGGTTCTGCGGATCGTACAAATGCGAGAATGAAAAACCCGGGGCCTCATTTATAGAGTGATCCTAAATGTTGAACGTATGACAGTTTATAAAATGTTCTTGTAGATGGTTTAAGTCCCAAATTCCCAAACGCATCCCTTTTTATAAGTCTCAGTTAATTTCAAGCTCAGTGTGAACAAGCACATCAACGCCATCTGCAAAATGCCCACAAATACATCTTTATGGTTGAGAAGTTGTACAGCCATCATCATAAATGGGCAAGGAAATCCAATCCCATTTTTATTTTATTTTATTTTTTTATATATTTTTTTTATTCTTTTCTATTCTATTCTATTCTATTTTATTATATTTTAGGGAATTTTCTTTTATTTTAAGGAATTTTCTTTTAATATTTTATTTTATTTTATTTTATTCTATTCTGTTTTATTATATTTTAGGGAATTTTATTTTATTTTATTTTATTTATTTTTTTTTTTTTTTATTCTTATCTATTCTATTCTATTTTATTAATAGTAATTTTTTTCAGGAATATAGTGTGTATAAACATACAGTACACACACACACACAGACACAGACACACTCACACACACACACACACACTCACAC